GTAATTAGTATCAAGTGTAGCAATAACAAATTAATACAATAATAATGTTCAACTATAATGTTATCAACATTTTTTCAAGCTCGACCTCTTTTAGGAATATACAAGGTAGTTATCTCAAGAATATATGACTTTTAGAATAAGAAAAGTTTTAAATTCTTACTTTTTTATGTGACTTTTTTTTTAAATTAAGTAATCCGATTACTCTAATAAAATTCTATAATTTCATTTTATGTCCAAATGTGTTACCAAACAACATATTTTGTTATAAAGCAATATTTTTTTTTGGTATTATTTTTCCTCTTAATATGTCTTATCCAAACACAAGGTTGTCCTTTTTTTATTATTCTTTTTACATGTTATTCTACTATGTTATTAACTTAAAATACTAAATTGGAAAGCAATTAAGAGGTTGAGAGAAAAGGAAAAGTAAACACAAAAAAACAGAGAGAACTTATTCATTAAAAGGCTATCTCCATTTACAACGTCTTCATTTATTCTTCCTCTTTTTGTTTAATTCCATGTTATTCAATACTATGAATAGGTAAATTTGTATTCATTAGGACTAAATATGATCACTAAACTTTTTTATATAATTTGATTATATTTATATGTAGTTTTATATTTTTCTTTTTCATAGATGATGTTTAATCTTTATGATTATTGATTATTATTGTAATATCCAAAAAATAATAACAATTTATACAATTGGACCTTGATCCTCAAGATTAATGATATATCATCACTTGGTTTAATTACTCTCTAAGTTTATTGACCTTACCGAGTTCATATTACTACAACCACATATGTCTTCTTTTGTCCATGTATTATCATATAATCATTATAGAATGATAAAACCAACCAAACATAAAACAAGAAAAAACAAGTATAATGCACAAAAAAACATAAAGTAAGGGAATTAATATTTTTTTTTATGTTGAAGTCCAAATTTGTGTGTGATTTATGTAAATTAATGAACTAAATGGTTTATTAATTGGCTTGTAATTTGTGATGCATTAACTGAATTGGTTGATAACTTATACATATGTGTTTCTAAAATTGTGAAATGTGATATGGGCTTTATGATGATTTGTTTGAGTATAATATGAAATCTTGAAGTGTAATGTTATCAAATTGGTTTAGTGATGTTAATTGAAGATGTTTTGAGTAAAAATACACTTATTCAAGAATTGAAGAAGCAAAAATTTCCTCAATGCCAAAACATTAACAAAATTGAGTACTCAACGTCCTGGAGCTAAGATATTCCTTGACAAAGTTGTGCTCAACGCTAGTACAACACCACTCAAAGCTTTATCAATTGATAGAAAGTACGTTTTGTGATTTCAAGTGAACTTAGACCTGATCAATTACTCAAATTGGTACTTCTTTCGTAGTGAATTGGTTCAAAAGAGTTTTTACACATTAAAACTGGTACCAATTTATTCAATTGTTCAGATTCTAAGTTCCTTAGTCACACAAACACAAACAACAATCAAACACAAAACAATCATCCAAATCATACAAATTAATTAAGTCATACACATAAGTCAAATTCATCATAAGCAAAACATGAAATTTATCAAACTCCCGCACCAAAGTAACTTAGCTTCCCTTAATTTTGACAAGTATACAAACAACTTAAAATCCTTATAACACTCCCAAACGCATAGGAAACCTTATTTGTCCAGGAACAACATAAGCATGATCAGGATATGTCATCAAAATCATATATCAATAGAAAAACTTATAGATGACTCTAAAGAAACATGCAAACAAAATTTTACCCACTATAAAGGAATAACCAATTTGAATATAAGAAAATATAGGAAACTAACTTACATAAACTAAAAGATTGATCTGTCAAAAATTGAGAATTCAGTATAATGACCACTAAAACGGTTCTTAATATTCAAATAAATAAACAAGAAGTTAAATAATTTAGAGAGGGAAAAGAGTTTTAGTGAAAAAATTATTAAAAGATACATATTTTTAACTAATAAAATTTGTTTATAAAAGAACTCTATTTATACTTTAAATTTTTAATATTAATATAATTAAATCTTCTAATTTTACACTATTAATTTTAAAAAAATAGTTTTCTAAATTCTTACACGTCATTAATATACAGAAAGATTTTTCTAATACATTTATAAAAAAATAATTTTTTTAATTTAAATTAGAGACTATATAATATATAAATAATTGTTACGTTGCTTAATAAATATTTGTTCAGCACAGTTAATTTATTTCTTATTTATAACTATTTTTTGTTTCAAGTCTTTTCATGTTAATTGAAGATAGAAAATTTCAAAATAACCAGATTTAGTGGTTAAATATTACTGTTAATTTCACATCACAAAGATGCATTTCTTATTTATAACTATTTTTTTTTCAAGTCTTTTTAAATTCATGTTAATTGAAGATGGAAAATTTCAAAACAAAATCCAATAACCAGATTTAATCGTTAGATATTAAAAGCATCTTAGTTTTGCTATCAATTTAAATCGATCAATTTAAATACTTTAAAAGCTCAGTCACACTGCCACATATAAATCTTCATTTTCCAATGCAGTGGAAATTTAATGCTATCTTTTAAAAAATTGTATTCTCGAAGTCAGTTTAAATTCAAATTAGCTATACAGTTACTATTACTATTATTATTATTATTATTATTATTATGAATAATGTTATAAAAAATAGATTATTTAATATAAATGATTTGTTATAATATTTTTTTATAGTTTAATTGTAACGTTTACTTAAATAATTTTAATTATAATTTTATTTAGTAAGAATTTTTATTTTATTTTTGAAAATGGTGTTTATAAAATATTTAAATATTAAGACGTGTTTTGAAATGAAAGATTATTGTGTGATTGTTTTTCGCCATGATAAAATTGTTGTTCCTTTTTAAAAACCTTTTAAAGTATTTTGTAGGGTGATATTATTAACAGAAAACAAACAAAAGCTTTACAATATTACCTTTAGAAGAAAAAGACAAAATCCAATGAAAAATGAGAAGATAAAATGTTTCATTAAACAATTCTATTACGAGAATAAAATGAAATATATAAAAATAGAATAAAATATTTTTTCTAATAATATAAAAATATTCTGATCTAGTTTTTAGAATATTTTTTTTTGTTATTTTTTGTGTGTGTTATTTTAATATTTGGAAGTAAAGAAAATGTTAAAAAAATGGAAAATAAGAAAATCTTACCATAGTGAAACAATAAAAATTACAAATTTGTGTTTTTTTTATTGATCCATCCCAGCTAAACAAAACAAAGAAATAAAAATATGTTAGCAAATGACTTTTCCTATAAAGAGGCAATGACAATAAATCATGCAAAAGTTAATATTGTGTTTTGGTGTATAAAACTCAAATCATGTGAGATTTTTTTTTTAACTTTTTAATTTGAATTTGCTATAAATTTGAATTAAGATGCACATTATAACACAATAATAGAGTGAATATAATTAGTTAATTATATATAAACTGTATTAATTACTTGTAGTTACTTTACAGTAAATATAAATTATCAATAAGATAAATTCATTTTATCCCTGTCTACTTTGGGGAAAAAATATGATTAACATGTTACTTAACTAAGTGAAAGTTAATTAAATTAAAAATTGAGATGTTGAATCACATTAATATCAAGAATAGTTCACCTAAATGGCTAACAAATTCTATGAACTAAGTCATTTATCATTTTTAAGATTTCTCAATTAGTTAAAAAAAGAATTCTATATATAACAATACAAACAGTATTGTATAAACTAATTATATGGGTGAAATGAATTAATTAATTTATTTGGTAACATTAATATTACCATTAATGTAATATATATTATAAATACTTTAAATTCTTTTGTTCTATTTTTCATCCTATTATTAACCTATGAAACTTCATTTAAAAGTATTTTTATAGTAAAAAAAGTGCAACTTATCATTTGAAGAGATTGCATAAAAGGTTAACATTAATGCATATAAAAATCAAATTTTAAAATGGTGCTCATAGAAGGAATTAAAAGCAATAAACAGAGAAATACATTGAACACTATTGTCATGTTAATATTTAAATATATTAAATATTAAATATTCATTAAATATTACTACTTATTAGTATGCTTCAACATTAATTAATATATTGAATATATTATGCTCAATATTGAATAATATAACTATTAAAGATTAAATATATTCAGTGTATTAGTATTCCATAATTATAATATTATTTTAATATTTTAGTACGAAACGTTGTTATTATATTATAAAAAATACTCTGAATATTTGTTGTATAATTTTTAGTGTACGCGTGCTTTTAATATTTAGGAAGAATCCAGTTTTACCTTTCCAAGAAAAAAAATCATTTTAATTTTAAATTTGTTCAAGAAATGCTATTTTAATCTCTCAAAAATTTACCATTTAAAAACTAGAAACAGTTTTGGAAAATCTTTTTGGTTATGTTTAAAGATCAAAAAATAATTTTAAAAATTTGAGAAAATAAAAATAATCAACACACTTTTACATTTTCTTTATTTTTTTAATTTCATTTGGATTTAAAACATTGTTTACATGTTTAAAAAAGGAAAAAAAAGTGAGAGTATTCAAAAGGAATTAAAAGAGAAAAGGAAAAAAAAAGAAGGAAAAAATCCTCTTAATCAGTAGGTCACAGATAATATTAAATAAATAATTGATTATGCATAAGTTGCCGTTAAATACTGCCGAATAAAGATTCGGTGTGTTAGGATACAATATAATACCATGATAGCGCCTAATGCCGGATACCCCAACCGTAAGATGGCACCATATGTAATTCATCTTTCGAGTGTATCTATATCAGAGTATTTAACGGTGAGATAGCTACTAGGAGGTGGTTCCCACAAGTTTATGCACAGTATTGAATCATTTAATAAAGTTTTAAAAATTAATAAATCATTAATTATTATTATTATTTAATTAGTTTCTCACACTGCACTTACGTTTGGACAATAACACTAAACTGAAAGTACCTTGTTTTGTGCCTGTTTTTCGCTCTTATTCTTGCAAGTTCCCATGGCTTTTCTCTGACTCTTTAACTTCGCCTTACTGTGTCTGTGATGAACGGACACCTCGAGGTTCTTATTTTCGGCAAATGTCGATGCTCTGGCACTGAAGAAACGTATCACTGAGTAAGTGTAGGGTTACAGTGTTTCGTTCTTTGTTTAATTTATTGTGCTGGTTTGAATAATTTGTGTGTTTTGAAACCTATCATTGTGCAGAATCGTTTGCATGTTTCTTTCTGGAATTTGAACTAGTTGAGCTTCGGTTGCTATTTTCTGTCTAGGAATTGGAGCTCATTCTCGTTTGGTGTTGGTTTGTTGCTGATTAGTTGCTGCTGGTGGCATTGCTGGTGCGTGCGATTTTGAGTCAATTTCTTTGTGAATAGCATTGTGTATGTTGTCATTTTACAGTTGGTTGAACTAGTGGATCTGATTGAAGGACACTACGGCTCTGTCACTGGTTCTTTTCGATTCATTGGGCTGATTTTATGTTCATGTGCAATGTTGTTTGTCAGTTGTGTCCGTTCAGAGTTTAATTATGATATCTGGTTTGAATACAAAACTGAAAGAGAGAGAATGAATGAAATGTACTTGATAAACTCTGTCTGTGTGCTGGCTAGTTTGTTCTTAAGAAAGAAAAGATTGATAAATTGATGATTGTATCTAAGAAACTGGTATGTGGCTTTTGTTGACATAAACTTAAGTAAATTTTGATGAAGATACCTAGGTTTTTTTGTTATTAATCATGAATGTCATTAATTCATGCAATTTTTACCATTTTTATGAATTTACATATATATTATACATTATATAAACTGTATAAATTATTTTAAATTGTGGCTGTTCTGCAATCCTGTTAAAGTATTTTAGGGTCTGGTATCTGAGAACCACTATCCAGAATTTAAAACACGGGGTCAATTATACCTAATTGAACCTTGTCTAGTGGTTTCATGTGATCCATGTAGACAACCTCACAGTGGAATAAGACTTTTGTTGCTGCTGCTGCTGCACCTTGCCTAATTATAGAACTCAGTTGCTACACTATCTTCATTACTTCATTGTCAGTGGTTCACTTTTTTTAAGTTCTGAGTATATAATGATACAACTGTCTTCATAGAACAAGTTAGGGCCGTGGCTTCTGGTTTTTTTAGGGACACTTTGGCACTCTATGACAAATTTACAACTCAGTAGAACTTAATTGATCCGATACTTGTGTTGTCTTCAATTTCCTAAAATCATCATATTATCATCTCGCCTTCTAATTTTCAACCTGACAATGTTCCTGGGTTCCTTGAATTTCAGTTTGGAATGTGAAAGCATCTGTAATGTATGTTGTCATGTAATAGGTTTCAGCAAGTGCCACAGACTACTACAACATAGATCAAAATATTTTCAAAATAGATTATCAATTACCTGTTCTCATTTACTTCTGTAAAGCCTTTTGGTGTGGATGATTTATTTTTTTAAATGTTTATTTTTTGAGAACGAACTAAGATTGGAAGTCTTTTACAGATTGTTATGGTGTGACACTTCAGAGGAACCCCAATTGAGTTAATTGTATTACAAACATTTGTGCTGTAATGCTAAATGTGAATTTACACCCAGAATTTGCAAATAGCTTCTGCCCTGCCCCTCTGCGTGTTTGGCAAGCTTTTCCTAAGACATGCGGTCGTGGTGGGGAAAGTCTTCTTCCAAAGAGGCGAAAAGGAAGGAAAACAAGGAAAGTATTATTCACACCATACAGCGGAAATTAAAGAATGCTTCCGAAGAGAAATGCAATAATAAATCTGAAAGATCAAGGAGATATCGTGATGATGCCATCTCCAAAAAGGGATCTAGATCTCTTGTACCTTCAAGATCACCATCACCCTCTACACATGTATCCCGATGTCAAAGTTTTGCAGAAAGGCCTCTCTCTCAACCACTTCCATTACCAGGGTCACATCTTTCGGATGCCATTGGTGCAAATGCTGGGGTTATTTTAACATCAAAACTTGATAGAGCCATAAACTCAAAGCCATCTCTATATTTTCCCCTTCCAATACCTGGTTTTGTTTCAAACAAGGAAGACGCTACTGATATGGAAGGAGAAATAGCCACTGCATCTGTTTCTAGTGAAAGCTCAGTTGATAGTGGCAACTCATTTGATTCGCCGCATTTTGTTAGCCCTCTGGCTTCTGATTGTGAAAATGGAAACCGAGCAACCATTAATAGTTCTTTCAGGTTATTTTGTTTCCTTCTAGATACATTTATTTTAAATTCTTTCCGTTTATTTACCTTTTCTTTTTGTTTGTTACTAAATTTATTTCTATTTTCCTGAAGTCTGGTGCACAAGAACCAACCACTTATTACTATACAAAGAAACTCAAGAACATTCTCAAAACCAAGTCCTCAGTTGTGCAATAATAAGCCATTGTCTACCTCACCAAGAGGGGTTCCATTATATCTGCAAAATCTGCAAGTGGCTCGCCCAGGTGGTTTGTGTAGTGCTCCAGGTAGTTCAATATCAAGTCCTAGAAATCCAACGGGAGCTTTTGGTCCTGAACAAATGTTGAACTCTGAATTACAGACAAGAAAGCCTTATCCAGATATAGCTTCTGGGCACTCCTATAGTCTGGTTTCAGGCCGTAATTCTAGCCATATTTCAGTTGGTGGGGATCTTTCGGGACAGATGATTTTGCCTCAAAACAGGTGTAGCCCTGAGTGTTCTCCAATAGTTAGTCCCAGAATGACAAGCCCTGGTCCCAGTTCCAGGATACAGAGTGGTACTGTGACCCCTCTGCATCCCAAAGCTGGAGGAACTGCAGCAGAAGCACATACAAGACGCCTTGACGATGTGAAGCAAAAGAATCATCAGTTACCACTTCCTCCAATAACAGTTACTAAGCCGTGTCCATTTTCTCCAACCTATTCTGCATCAACAACTCCTTCAGCCCCTCGTAGTCCTGCCGGATCAGAAACTTCGATAAGCACAGGTTCGCGCTGGAAAAAAGGACAGTTGCTTGGAAGGGGAACATTTGGACATGTATATCTTGGTTTTAACAGGTCCGTATCAAGTGTATGAATTTTTATTTTTATTTTTGTGTTCACCTTCTCTTTAAATTATGACACGTGGTACATATGGTCGTTTTTTCCGTATTTTGTTTTTGTAATAAAAATTTGGGAGTAATATGTAAAATTTGGGTAGGGCGTAAGTACCAAGGGAGGAGTAGTACAGCGGTACCAACTTACCCAGGTGCCTGCCAGATGTATTCTGCTGTTGGACCAATAATCACTGTATGCGTCATTCAGGAATTCTTAATCAAGCAGATTGTGTTTGAATATGCATTTCTCCACTTTTTACATCACCCTCATTCGTTAATATGTCAGCACTGGTCCTGTTTGAAAGTTGATATTCGTTGTTGTTCATGCTTTGTGTTTTTTTCTGCATTAAATTCTTTCAACTCTTTAATTGTGACGTAGTTCAACTTTTGATGTTCTATAGAGAAAGTGGTGAGATGTGTGCGATGAAGGAGGTAACCCTTTTTTCAGATGATGCTAAATCAAGGGAAAGTGCACAGCAACTTGGCCAAGTAAGCGTTCTTTCGTAGATTCGGTGTAATACCCTTCTATGATCCATTTTGCATGTCTTATACTTGCCTTTCCTTTGGAATGGTTAAAATTATGACGTAAGGAAAAAATTATTTCCTTTCCTCAGTTGTGCTTACTTGTTTAAACAGTTGAACAAGGTGTAATTGTGAATTAATGACATTTTATAATCATAGCGATGAATATTCACATACGTGATGGCATTTGCAGGAAATTGCAATGCTTAGTCGGTTGCGGCATCCAAATATTGTTCAGTATTATGGATCTGAGACGGTATTTATTGAATCTTTGACTTTATACAGTAAATGATTTCACTTTCGGAATCTGCTTGCATAAATCAAGACTTCCACGTTTGCACAAATCAGTTGTTGTAATTGCTTGTATGTTTTGAGAAACACGATTAAATTTCTTCTTAACTGCAATTGCAGCTACTACTGTAATTTAGTGCTTCACATGCTGTCAAACTATTGACTATCAATTGTCAAGTTCCGAATGCATTTACTGCTTTATGAAAATTTTATGCCTAAACAGATCGATGACAGACTTTATGTATACTTGGAGTATGTCTCCGGTGGGTCAATCTATAAGCTGGTTAAGGAATATGGCCAGTTAGGTGAAATTGCAATTCGCAATTATACTCGACAAATTTTGTTAGGCCTCGCATATTTACACGCCAAGAACACTGTTCACAGGTGAGTTTTATACATATTGTACTTGAAGTCTTCTCATATAATTTTCAATCATTGTAGTCAATAGCTCACTGTAGCGGAGTAGCTCGGCAGAGTGGACTTGAGCTGCTATGGGATTGAAATAGAATAGCGGTTTTCAAATAGCAGTTGTTGCAGCCGCTAGTGTCTTTTCATGTTCTATAGTGGCGCACCCGTGATAAAAACCCATTTTACCTGAGCTTAGATTTTTGGGGTAAAACTGTTATTTCTTTCCTATTTTCTAGTTCATTTTTTGCTTTAGAAAGTAATAGGGTTTGAAATCCTTCTTCCTTGACCATTCCATAAAAAAGTTACCTTTGTTTTAGTATTTGTTCCTTCACACTTTATGGCAATGTCGTTTATGTCTCCCGCTCTTTCTTCTCATTTTTCATTCTACTAATTTGTTATTTTTCTATTAATTTATTGTATGCATAAAACTCCAAATAAAATTATAAAGAAATTCATGATAAGTAACAGGTCAGAAGATTGCACATCAATCTAGGAAGCAGTATAGTAATAAATAAATAAAATGACATGAATTTCTTTATTTAGTTTATATTATTAATTTTAAAAACATCTACCTTACAGCTAGCCCGCCCGCTATAGTGTTTTCAAAGGTGGCTACTATGCGCCAGTCTCCTAGACTAATAACTGCGGTTTCAATTCGTATCTATTGTTTTAATTATGTTATGATCTGTGAAATGATTTCCCCTGGTCTGATCACTAAATTCTGATCAGGGACATTAAGGGAGCAAACATATTGGTGGACCCTAATGGGCGGATAAAATTGGCAGATTTTGGGATGGCAAAGCATGTAAGAGCATTTAAATGTTTTATTGTGCAACATCTATGACTTTGTAAGAGCATTTAAATGTTTTATTGCGCAGAAGCATTTAAATGTTTTATTGCGCAGACTTGAGCTTATCATTTCATCACAATGGGTTTTACTAGCCAGGCCAACCTACTTAATGTGCCATGTTTGGTAGGTTGGGTTTACACATTGGAACCTATCAAGTGCAAGGACCCGCCTCTCATAATCAGTGGCTTTTGATAGGTTGAGTTGACCCATCTAGTGCAAGATCCACACCCTAAACTCATCCCATTCACTATATTGGAAAAATGTGTTTTAATTTTTTTATTTATTTAGGTGACTTGGCCTATCAAAAACCTAACCCATCATAAAATGAGTGCACTAACTTTCCTAACTGTTCCAAAAAATAGGGGCCCACCTATCCTGCCCCGTTCATTTGGCGGGAGGGCAACCTGCTTTGCCATCTTTCTAACTTGATATTTCCTATCTTGAATGGTTTGCAGATAAGTGGTCCATCTTGTCCATTTTCTTTCAAAGGAAGTCCTTACTGGATGGCACCTGAGGTCAGGATGATTTCTTGATTCATGTAAACTTTTGTCACTGGTCTTATGGTGTAGTCTATACTTATCCGTGTTACTGCCTTAAATATGTAGGTTATAAAAAATTCAAATGGTTGTAATCTTGCGGTTGATATATGGAGTCTGGGATGCACTGTTTTGGAGATGGCGACAACAAAACCTCCTTGGAGCCAATATGAAGGGGTGAGTTTGTAGACAGACTAAAAGCATCTTGAATCATTTGAAATGTATTTTCGGACACAAAGGATTCTTGGTTGGAAACTTGGAGCACATGCTTGTCTAGGAACATTGATTGCTTAACTTGTTTCTGTTGTTTTACACCACATATTTCAAGGTTGCTGCTATGTTTAAGATTGGGAACAGCAAGGAACTTCCGACAATTCCAGATCATCTTTCAGAAGATGGAAAAGATTTTGTAAGGCTTTGTTTGCAAAGGAATCCTCAAAATCGTCCCTCGGCTGCTCAACTTCTAGAGCATTCATTTGTTAAAAATGCTATGCTGGAAAGATCTATTTTATCTGCCGCTCCTTCAGAAGATCCTACTGCTATAATAAATGCAGTGAGATCTCTGGTATGTCATTTCATACAATCATCTTTTGTCAAGCTGCATTACTTTTTTCAGTTTGTGCATGGCTACGTTGTCTGTTAGTTCTTACGATTCGTCGCTTTTAATTTCTTTTAGGTCGTTGGACCTGCAAAACGTAATTCATGCTTAGACTCAGAAGTAGCCGGGACCAATCCGCCTAGAAACTTGAAAGCGGGTTCTGGATCAAGGTCTCTTTCAAACTCAAATGGCACACCCTTAAGCATGGGAAAGATCACGATAAAAAATACAACAGTCTTCTTTGTGCATATGAATATTTGTAGCTGTACATGTATTCAAAAGCTAGGAACCTGCATAACTTTAGCACTTATTTTAGGCAAGTAGCTTTATAGTTAAGTTGACAAGGAAAGGTGGTGGATAAAGACTCTGATGCCATATTGGTCGAATTTATGCTCTTTTTATTTATTTTATTTTACGTACTTTGATTTGAAAGAGAAGGTACTAACTTTTTTTGTGCCCTTTGTTTCCAGTGATCCTCATACACCAAGAGAGATCTCTTGTCCCATCTCTCCCTCTTTTCCTTATAAATCATTGCATACAAGTGGAAGGATGTCGCCTCCAATATCTAGCCCTCGTACTGCATCAGGCTCATCTTCGCCCCTAACCAGTGGCGGCGGTGCTATTCCATATCATCAGACAAAACAATCAATAATCTCCCATGAAGTTTCGGGGATGATACAAAAGTCCCATCATGGTGTTATTCCAATATCTAGCCCTCGTACTGCATCTGGCTCATCTTCTCCCCTAACCAGTAGCGGCGGTGCTATTCCATATCATCAGACAAAGCAATCAATAATCTCTCATGAAGTTTCGGGTATGATCCAAAAGTCCCATCATGGTGTTATTCCAATATCTAGCCCTCGTACTGCGTCTGGCACATCTTCACCACTAACCAGTGGCGGTGGTGCAATTCCATTTCATCAGTCAAAGCAACAACTATTCTCACATGAAGTTGTGGGTATGAGCCAAAAGTCTCAGAATGGTGCCATTCCAATTTCTAGCCCTCGTACTGCATCTAGCTCTTCTTCACCACTAACCGGCGGTGGAGGCGCTGATCCTTTTCATCAGACAAAGCAACCACTATTCTCACACGAAGTTTTGAGTACGATCCAAAAGTCTCAGAATGGTGCTATTCCAATATCTGGCCCTCGTACTGCATCCGGCACATATTCGCCACTAACCAGCGGTGGAGGCGCTGTTCCATTTCATCAGACAAAGCATCCACTATTCTCACATGAAGTTTCCGGTGTGATTCAAAGGTCTCAGAATGGTTGTGTTCCAATATCTAGCCCTCCAACTCCATCTGGCTCATCTTCGCCACTAACCTGTGGGGGAGGAGCTATTCCGTTTCATCAGACAAAGCAGCCACTGTTCTCACATGAAGTTGTGGGTATGACACAAAAGTCTCAGAATGGTGCCATTCCAATATCTAGCCCTCGTACTGCGTCTGGCTCATCTTCACCACTGACCAGTGGCGGCGGTGCTATTCCATTTCATCAGACAAAGCCACAACTATTCTCAAATGAACTTGTGGGTATGATCCAAAAGTCTCTGGATGGTGCTATTCCAACGGCTAGCCATCGTACTGCATCTGGCTCATCGCCTCTGACCAGTGGTGGCAGTGCTATTCCATATCTTCAGACAAGGCAATCACAAATATCACATGAAGTTGTTGGCATGAACCAAAATCCTCAGCATGGTTTGTATTCATTTGGAAATACCCCTCGTCAGGGTTCTCAGCATGCGCAGTTTGGGAGAAACTTGCAAACTACACATGCTTGCCGGGATGTAGGTTCATCTAACAATAATCATTCTAGGAGGGCTGTCCAGGGAGACCCAATAGAATTTCGCGATGGGAAATCATATTTGGCTGATTGCGTGTCACAACAGCTGTTGAGGGATTATGTACGGCTACATGCATGCCTGGATCGTAAACCCGATCCCCCAAATCCTGATCGCGCGAATGGCTTATGATCTGCATTCAGTGCTCAGATGATAGGCATTAAAATTTTGAAGGTTAGAGCATTCGGTTAGTGTAATAGCATAATCATGTAGTGCATTTGGGTAAATCGTAAATCTCAATTTTGTTCGGAGTTCAAAATCGAATACCGTCTGAAGTCTGCGTCTCCTTGGAGGCGCAACATTCAGTCTTAGCCTTGCGTTAAAACATTTTTTGACCCTCTTAAGGAAATGTAAATTACTAACGTAAGTGCTGTCATTTCGCGTTTTATCATCATCCTAGGCCTAGCTGAAAATGGTGGTGGACGCCAAAGCGTATATAAACAGATGCCTATTGTAAATATTGGAGAAAAACGTTATATATTTATTTAACAGTTTCCTCCTGTAATTGTTTGTCTCTTCGTTGGTTGGTTTCTTCAACTCATTTGGCGTTATATCTACACTGAATTTTATCAGCATATGCCTGCTTAACTACCGAAAATTGCTCTGCGGGCTTAACTGCCGAAAACGTCGCAGCAACTTAAATTTTACTTGTAATAGCAATTTAAATACACTGAATTTTATCAGCATGGTGTTAGAAGCATAATTTTGGACCAATTTAAATTTAAAATTTATCTTATCATGCTTTTACTTCCTGAACAATTCAATCGGGTGTACATAAATTAATGAGGCTACTTATTCAAAAGTTGCTTGAGAACTTGGTAGCTTTTAATCCAAGAGAGGGGAATGGAAAGTAACTTTTTAGTTTTAACTAAATACAATAAAAAAAATAGTAGAATATTAAGATGTGAAAAGAAAATATTCGTCCCTTTTCTCAAGGTTGAGAGAAATCGGTGTGAAAGAAAAGTAGATATTTAAAATGTGATATAATAGTTCAAAATAATTTGAAATGTGTAATTTAAAAAAAAAATGAAGACATTTCTAATATAATAACAGTCACAATCCATATTTTCTTGACACCCTTGCCAACCAAGGTAACGTTATGTTCTAGTTTTATCCTCTTTACCAAACACTAAGATTTGCCCAGTCGTAAAAGGCATGGCAAATGTGGTAATACTATGGCGATTGCATTGATACAATTTCCTAAATCCCAAGCACATATACCTCCAAGTAACGATTTTGATATCAATGTAACGGAGTACTTGAACTGCTCAAGTTTGATTACAGTGCTTGATTTTCACCAGTAACGATCTCAAAGCAATAATGGTAGTCTGAGATGTAATTTACTTAAAACGTTCAATAGTAAGCTTACGCCACTAACAGATTTCTTATTCTCTGAAATTTCACTTCCTCTAGTTCAGTCCAGTCAAACAAACCTTAAGCTACTTTGGATTAGTCAGACTTGAGCTGAATTCCCATAGTTTTTTTGCCAGCTCTGAATCTTTAGCCAGAGAGGTTGGGTCGGCCTTATTGCAATCCATAAAGTATTCACCAGATACTCCCTTCACTTGTGGATGCAACGCCACGTAACACTGAGTTGCAGCTCCCTATAAACATGCCCCAACAATTCAATTATCAAAACACTGGCGTAACATATTAAGATTAACAGCATATCAGCACACACTGTTGTAGATATATTTTGTATGTACTAAATACCTGTTGAACATTTTTAAGGAAGTACTTGCCCACCATATTAGCAAGGGCTGCATAAACCAAGTACTATACATGAATGAAAGTTCAAATGGTTATGGAAGGAATTTTGTACAAGAATCACCAGCTATAACATCTGTTTTGCTTCTCTTTATGACCCTTTTAGTGTGTGTGTGTGTGTGTGTATATATATATATATATATATATATGCATAGAACGGTAAGCATATTTATATGGATTATTTAGATCAGTCATATAACTATGTCTAATATTTGTTAAACCGGTATCAGACCTATTTCCAAATTCAAGGATACTAATAAACACATTAATTGAATGGCATATAGATACTAACCATTAACATAACCATGGTATCTCAAAATATTTGTAACAATTGATCCAGGATGAAGGGAGTTGACAGTTATTTCCACTCCTTCTTCCTGAACAAAGGAAACATGCTAGGGTTACATCAAACTAAAACCAACTAGTTCACCGATTAGTCAAAAGACCAAAAGGATTGAAAACTCCATTACTGAAGCAGGCTATTTACAAACATAGAACACTAAATGTTGCAGTAAATAAAGTGGAACCAATGAAATTCCATAAATTAGAGGTGACTTTTAATGAATATAATACCTTCAAGCGCCTTGCAAGCTCCTTTGCATGCAGAATGTTAGCAAGTTTTGACTGTCCATAAGAAAAATAACTGTTGTACCTGATAAAAATCAGATAGAGGTGGAAGTTATGCAATTTTGGGAACTCAACATTGGACATGAATAGTATACATTTATTATGATTTGTTTTATAGCAAGAGCTTTGTAGCAAACGAGGAAAAGGTTTGCCATTGATTTATCATTCCAATCAGATTGTTACCCTGATTCATCATTGATCTTATCAAACAAAATTCCTTCACGGTATGCAAATCTGTGTGCCTCTGATGATATAATAACTATCCTTCCTTCCTGTTTGCATTCTCGTACTGTTTTTTTCATTGTTTCTAATAAAAGATTTGTCAAGAGAAAATGACCTACAAAATAGTATTAAAAATTAATCTTCAAAACATTTTTGAAAATTATACGACAACACCCAACTTTAAGTTATATATGATGATTCACAAAGACATTTAGCAGAAATGAAGTTAGAGAAATCCCACATATTATGTGAAGTAAACATATAATATAATACCTAAATGATTGGTTGCAAACTGCAATTCAATATTGTCTTGGGAAAGCAAGAATGGAGTTGCCATCACCCCTGCATTGTTACTTCAAGGGAAAGAAAGAATATTATTTCTTTCAACTTTTAAATAAGCAAAAGATTATGATTTGTCTCAACTTTAAGTGTGCAATCAACACAAAGATAAGGAAGTAATTTTACAGGTATAGTCTATCAACAATGTCAAACAAGAGAGTATAAAGTTGGCAAAAACATCTTTCCAGAAAGATATGAGCATAATAAAAAGTCATCAATCATTCACATTCAACCACGTGAAGCCAAACAGACAAAACATTACCCAAGTTATCTTAAAACAACTAGAGTTAAGATCTCTTACATTAGAATATTGAGTGAAAGACCAGATGAGTTAAAATCTGCTGCAAATTTCCTTACAGATGCCATAGAGCTTAGATCTAACTCCATAACATCAATTTTAGCCGAGGGAATTTCCTCAAGAACAGTTTCTTTGACATTCTTACCACTTTCCACATTCCTTACTGCCATGACAACATGGACACCACGGGATGCAAGAACCCGGGTGGTCTCCAGGCCAAGACCACTTGATGCTCCTGAAAATGGACTACGTAAGTACTGAATCATGATACTTAAAACCAGAGAAATAACTAAGCCTCCCATCTAAATCAAATAGCAAGTTATATGAATCTCATTTCTTCAACAATTCAGAACAACTAGTCACCATCAGAACCAAAGAAAGTTAAACAATCTTGTGCTGTATGGTATACCAGATAATGTAACATATCATTTTCTTAAGAGATCACAAGTGTTGGGTCTTCGATGAGGCTATTCTCATACAAAGCTTCGATAAAATGCTACCATTGAAACAAGCCATAAGTGATGCATCATTAAACTACAACACAACATAAGAAAATATAACACTGTCAACTTTCAATTCATTTCATCCCACAAAAGGGTTTCAAGTGGACCAAGACGTTCTCGATCAGACAAAGATAAAAATGTTGACTTGCTTCAAGTGGAAAAGCCTTTCATACAAACACACACGCCCGAATTTTCTCAGCACCCAGAAACACAAAACATAATATTTTTATGCAAAGAAAATAAAAAAAATAAAAAAAGGGAAGAAAAACCTGTGACAATGGCGGTGAGAGCGGTTCCATCAATCCCTTGAGTGACTTGTTCGGCTGTTGAAGAGGCTGAGAACCCCGACGCCCCTTTCCAACCCAGAAACCACATTTTTACTTTCTCACACCAAACAAGTCAAAACACAAATCACTTTGTGTTTCGATTTCTGTATAAAACTTACACATACTCACCCAATAGTTTCACCGATAATATATTAACGGAAAATACTAAAAATAATTACAATTAATTCTTCATATTTTTTCAAATCATAATTAACTTTCTCTCCGTTATGTAAAAAATTGTGATGATATAATATTTTTAAATAAAGGGATAAATTTGTGTAAATTTTCAACAAGTTGAAGACTTGTAACATCTTCGTTGGAATTAGTTATATAAATTCCCTTATCAATAAAAATAATATTTAATGTAAGTAAGTATTTTGCTGAGATTTTTAATGACAATTTAATGTGATTAATATTATTTTTAATTTTCGGCGACATATATATACGTTCTTTCAGTATCAGGATTTACATCTCTTAAAAAAATCAAGCTTTGGTTCAACTAAGTTTTTAAACAAACTAAAGCAATAATTAGTATTGTGGATCATTCTGACCATGTGGCGTTGATATATACTTTTAGTTTATTTATTTATTTTAAAATAAAATTTATGACTAAAACGAAGTTGAAATCATTAACTTAACTTTTACCTTAATGATTGGTTTTAATAATTTTAAAAAATTAAAATGTATGATATTTAAATAATTTATAATCATTTTTTTATTTTTTAAATATTTGTTTGGATAAAGTAATTAAAATATTTTATATTTTATTCTTTTTGTTAGATAATTACACTATTCTTTCAAGATAAAACTTTATTGTAAAATATGTATTTTAAAATTAAAGTTTACAAAAAAATACTAGTTCAACTTTAAATATTCAACTAATATTAAATTCTTAAGTTTTTTCAATATTTATCCATAACCATTAATAATGATATTTTTTGGTAACTATTAAGTAACTGATTTTTTTAATACACATTCATTGTTTATTTTATGCTTGTCAATATAAACTATACTTATATATAAAAAATTTGACATTCTCAGATACCAAGAACAGACCTTCCTATGTTTAGGACTCACAATCGCCTTTTTAATAACAACATAGGTAGATAATTAACTTTCCTTTGTTTTTAAGACATTTTGTTTGAACAAATTAATTAAAATATTTTACATCTTAATTTATTTTTGTTAGAAAGTAATTGTATTTCTCTTTTAAGATAAAATTTTATTTT